TAACTATGTAGTACACTTTCAAATTATCCAATTAATCACTGGACCAACAGATGCTTCTAATTTGAAAAGTTTACAACCTACCACGAAGTCCTTAGTTCTTGTGAGAGGTTTGAAAAGAGAAATCCAGTTGCGATAAGGGCTCGTTTGGAAGTGCCTTTGAAATGACTGAAAATTTTTTTAGAAAAAATTATTTTTGGTTCCAAAAAGCGCTTGAAGTGCTTCCTCTTTTAAGCAATTGCATTTTTACTAAGGATTGGTTCAAAAAACATTTTATCAAAAGTGCTTCCAGTCACTTTAAAAGCACTTGAACGATCCTAAGTGTAATAATGCACCTGCTTACGTTATATTTTACCATTCTTAATCAAATTCTAAACCACTTTCCACTGTAGTTTCTGAGATTTTGAATTGTTCACACTTAATATTGCTGCATACTGAACCATCTAATCATATAAATTGATGCTTAAGAGACGCTTCTGCTGAAAAATAATCCAATAATAGCATGATATAATGGAGCTTTTAGGTTGCAACAAGAAGTAAAAAATTTGCAGAGAAAATTTGCTCACAAAGAACTTCATGGGCCGTTAGCCGCTTTTTTGGGTCCCTCACAAGCATTCTCCGAACCAAATCCTTAGCGCTTTCAGATATGCTGGGCCACGGTTCTGATATGAAATCGAGTTCGCCTTTTAATACCTGCTCAAATATACCGTGCTCCGTTTCTGATCCCGAACATCATAAGAAAACTAGATTTTAGATGTAACTTTTGTATGAAATAATGAATATTCAATACAACAAAGCCATGATATTCCCACCATCCCAGAAAGGGGGCACTCCACTGAGTAAGATATAAATGATCACACCAGCACTCCAAACATCACATTGTAGACCATAGTGCTTCCGTAGTACTTCTGGCGCCACATAGTAAGGGCTCCCAACAACATCAGTGAATGTTTCTCCTGGGAAGATGGGTTTTTGTTATAATTCAGATATTGAATGAATTCAGTCTAAAAATGTGAAGTGGATCATATGAGTTCGAATGAGCAAAGACAAACATTCAGAAGACAGCATGCTGGCTTTAGAAAAATATATCATTTACAACAGAGATTTACTGGAAACTTAAAACATACTGATTCGCAGGAGCTATGGGGCAAGGGAAGGAAACAATATATTTGACATGGTTATCAAATGCACGGTTGTTCGAAGAATTAACTAAAAATTATATCCTTTTTCTGAAGGAATTTTTCGCTTAAATAGTTAATGTGTATTATATCGTATCCTTTGTGCTCTTCACAGTATTTTGAAAAGAGCCAAAAGGGGTGCAAGCAAATTACACAAGCAACATGAGTTATCTAACACGCCATGCACGTAATTGTAAATGAAATGAAAACGGAACACCGACTAACAAAAGAAAATAAACAAATAGTATTTCTTTACCCCCTCTAGCTAGCATAGTTCTGCACAAATAAGCGTTGCAATAGTTATGTATCTTTCATATTCAAATCCTTACTTTTAACATATTTATTCAAAAATTAAATAAACTCTGCCCAGGCACATGAAAAACTCCTCATAGCATTAGGATAAAACCAAAAGGTTAGCCACAAAATTCTTGACAAAAAAAAAGCCACAAATTTGCCGAAAATGACTGTTATACATGCATTGAAAGTAACCTTGTGTGACGAGTTATTAAACGGAGGGCAAACTTATGACACATGGTCTCCATATTACTTTTACAAAGTGTCGTACTGGCTATAGGCAGGAGCAACTAACCCAACTCAAACAAACTTGTGAATTCTTGAAACTTCGAAGTATGACTTCAAAAAACAAAGAAACCAAATTCTACCGTAAAAATCAACCTGAAATATTCACTAGAATCACTACAATTAATTTCAATCCATTACAAAAGTGAGCAATTTCGCATCAAAGAATACCAAAATCCTTGACCTTTCAAGCTTCAACAATGATGAAGCTAATTATTCATACTCATATATTACATAAGGCTATTTTTAACTCTAAAGCAGTTAATACACTTGATCACCCTCCTCCACCACACACCCCAACCCTTAACCACTTTGATATCTACCCTGCCACCACCTTTCACACACTTACCTCTTCCAATAAATCCTCATCTACACACCTCTTTTTTCCTCTCATCAGATTCTCATCTAAGATCTCACACGTGCAAAGAAAGTTTGCTTATATATGGATAATATATTTTCATACTTATGGTCGACTACTTTGCACTTCATGAACATGAGACCTAACATCACAATTGTAAACATTCAACATATTAAAGCAAGGAAGGCAGGTTCCTTTTTTGTAATTACTTAGAAGCAACAATTCAGAGAAAAATGATCAAGCCAGCATTTTCAGGCCCACAGAACTACCATTTCAATCTAGAAGTATAACATCGAAAATCCTACACTCATCAAAGTAACGAATGATATGGGAAGAAATAGTAAGAGAATTCTACCAAAATCCAATTAAATACCAGCTCAAGAATGAATCAAAAGCATATATCTTATTTCACAGGTTTATGACAATTTAGGGTAATAATCTTTGCACCTTATTTGTTCCAAATGGGTAATACAAATCTAATCCATAAATGTGATATTATACCTGGCCTAAAGAACACAGAGAGCCCAAAATCTATTGTCTTAAGTGGTGCATCCTCTTTCTGGTTGACAAATAGAAAATTCTCTGGTTTTAAGTCCCGATGCATGACACCCAAAGAATGGCATGCTTCGAGGACACCAGCGATAACCCTTGCAAGCTTAGCTGCCTTTCTCTCTGTGTAATGCCCCCTTTGTATAATCCTATCGAAAAGCTCCCCACCTGCACACAGTTCCATTACAACATGAACTGCCACAGCATCCTCATAAGCGCTGATGATTTGTATCACATTGGGGTGACCTGCCAAGTGATGCATTATCTGAATTTCCCTCCTAACATCCTCCACGTCTTCTTGTGTTGTCAATTTCCTCTTTGCAATGGACTTGCAAGCAAACTCTTTATTCGTTTCCTTCTCCACACAGAGAAATGTCGTCCCAAATTGCCCTTGTCCAAGCTTCCTGCCCAAGCTATAAACATCCTTTATATTGCCAGTCTTTCTTCCTAACACCGATTCTACTTGCAGTCCAACGCTCGAAATCCTCTTCATATGAGCAGGTTTCTTCGATTTGTCAGCATCCTGAGGAGGCTTACTCACCTCCTCCTTAACCTCCGGCTTATTAGGTTTTTCAGGTTCTGCTTTTTTATGTGGATCATTACCGATTTTCACAGCTGGAGGCGGTGTGCTTTGGACCGGATTAGGAGGAATCTCAATAGCTTCAGGAACCTGATGATCAAGTGCTTTGTTCCCTTCAGAACCTCCTTTAGATGAATCATGATTTGAACTTGGGCCACTTTTGATACTATCTCCTTCATTGGGAGGAGGAAGCCTGTTTTCCGGCGGCTGGTTTCGCCAAATAGCGGCAGTAAAAGATTGAAAGAAACCCTTACCAAGATTTGGTCCTACACATGTGTTCCCCATCAAATAATAAAAACACCAATCTCAGGTCTTTCTATTAATTTCAACATCCAAATCAATCTTCTTCTTCAGTCCCATTAACTACAAAAATTAAGCAATCCAATCAAGTCCCTACTTCTGCAGGTCAGATCAGGGACCTGAACAAACCCTAGCTCGATTCTTTGCGCCCAACAGCATATGACTGGAATCCGTAATTGCACCTTGTTCTATTCAAAACTTCCAAAATTCGATTTTTCACTTAAAAATTCAATGACAAAAATGAGAAATTTGCGTCCGAAAACGAATTGAGAGGCGCAAAATTGCGAGATACATCATGGAAATCAACTATGAATAAAAATTTCTTCCAAAAATCGGAAAAATTACAATAAAATGGTGAGGAATAAAAATGAAATTTGGAAAATTAAAACAAAGAAGAATAAAATTACTGTCCAGAAAAATGTACAGAGAACAAATTTCAATTGGAAACAAGAATAAGGGTTTTTTTAGATATAGATCATTGCAACTCTTATTTTCTAAACAAAAAATCAAAAATAAAACCCAAATTTGAAAATGACTACCAAGTAGAAAAATAATTGACCTATTATTACAAGATATTTACAACTTATATCACAATATTCAAAATAAATCAATAAATGTAATTACTCACCTTAATTATAATGAACAAATAATTATTACACATATTATTACCCCTAACATATATATATATATATATATATATATATATATATATATATATATATATATATATATATATATATATAGTACTACCATAAGCTCAATATATATAGGGGGCGGATCCGTGGCACCATGTTTTTTACACAATTTTTTACACAAGTATCTAGCCATTAGATTAGTCCTCTTTTAATGGTTGAGATGATAGGTTGACAATATGGCAATTAATTTTATTTCTATTTTCCCAAAAATACATATTAAATCTAAATAAAACTTTACAATTATAATTTTCTTTCTCTCTCATCTATCTTAATAGACTTTCACCAAATTGGCATAGTCTAATAATTATCTTTGAATTCTCGCTGTCATCTAATCTTATTTTTGAAGAAAGTATTTTAACCAAATCTCATAAAATTCTATGATTTTTTTTGTCGTGACTTTCACCAAATATATTGGCATAGTTTAATAATGTATTTTAATCAAATTTCTTCATGATAAAATTGGCATATAGTCTAAAAAAAATCAAATCTCATAAAATTGGCATAGTCTAATAACGATATATTTCAGAAACTCCTTCCCTATTTTCTTCAGAAATTCGATTTATGTCAAGCTATAAAAAAAAATCAAATTTCTCTCTCATAAAGCTTGACGGAAATCAAATTTGTGAAGTCTCAATAACGTTAATAAAACACAACTAATTTCAAAACATTGTTGCCATAAACTTTAACAAAATACACCCAATTTTCCAAACCATGAAAACTGCAACAAAATAGCACAATTAAGTGACTAATCTATCCTACAAAATTTAAACATCATCACTCTCCAAATATTCTTGGTCATCACTCTCCACATATTCGCCCAAGTCTTCTTGTTCCTCATTCCCTGATAGATTACAAAATAACAAAAAAAAAGATACATAAATAGGTAACCAAATATTGAAAAATATCAATAAAAAAAAGTTAATTTGACTTACATTCATTAGTTGATTCGATCTTTCTTCTTTTCGGATTTGATGGGCAATTTCTTGTGTCGTGTCGTACTAACTTATTGCATGAACGACATTTTCTTTTCTTCTTTTGTTGAGCCAACTCAATACCACTTTTCATCCTTTTCGAATTGCTAATATTGTCCTTCTTTTTACCTGTTTGTGAGATATTAGGGTCCAAAAGTAGCAGTAGAGAGTCACCTTTTGTTGAGGAAGCAACATTTTCATCTTGACAAGAATTTTCCGCCAACCTTCTTTTCGAACTACTAATATTATCTTTCTTTCTACCTTTAGTTTGTGAGATATATGGGTCCAATAGTACCGGTACAGAAGAGTCAATATTAGTACATGTGTCACCTTTTGTAGAAGAAGCAATGGTTGCATCTTGACAAGAATATTCCGACAACTTTTTGGATAGTTCATCTATAGCTTCCATGAAAATTGTGTATGCCTCATTTGAAGAAGCTGCAGTACAAGCCAACTTAGTTGCTTGATGACACATATGGCTAAGTCTCAAGGCTTCTGATTCTTCCTTACCATCATTCGTCACCAAACTTTTAAAATCCATTATCCTAAATTTGTTTGCTTCTTGCTTCCATCTTGGCAAAATAAAATGTTCAGGTATTGTATTAACATCCAAGCGGACAAATACTTTCAACAAGTGTCTGCAAAGTATTCCAACAAACTTAAAATTTTGGCATTCACACGTACCTTTGTGCGTTTGCGCATTTAGCTTCACCACAAACTCTTCTTGCTCTCCGAGTTTTGATTTCACTATGTATGCGTGATCTTCGTTGTCACGTGGCATTTCTTCAACTTTGTACCGATTGACTTTACTCCATTCATCCTTGAATTTATTGAATACATTTCTAGTATACAAACTTGCTGCATGCTGCAAAAGAAATTCTCCTTCATTGACAATGCGATACTTGTGTTCCGATTCAAAATCTTCATCACTTTCTCTTTCCATAATCTTCTTCAGTGCTTGTTCATATTTGACAACAAACTCTCTAAGATTTGTTGTTGGTGTGACAAATCCATCAAAAAAGGAATTAATACCCTCACTACGTCCAGTAGTATTCATTCCTGCAAAAAATATTCTACGATTATAAACAGGAACCCAAGAAGAACGCATCTCATATAAACTTTTTAGCCACTCATCATTCTCCAACCCATATTCTTTCATCAAGGCCTTCCACTTTACTTCAAAATCATCGATCTTATATGTCTTTCGAGTACATTTTTTCATCTCAATCTTGAACTTGGACTTCTTGAAGTACACATGTGATAACTTTTTAGCAAACTTCTTCTTGATATGCCATAGGCATAATCGATGATGAGTGTTTGGAAAAACCTTCGCAATTGCTCCTTTCATTGCCAAGTCTTGGTCAGTAATAATTGTAATCGGATGACGTCCTCCCATTGCTTCAAGCCATGTCTCAAACAACCATAAAAAGGTAACTTCTGTCTCATCTTGTAAAAGTGCACATCCAAACTGTATTGACTGCCAGTGGTGGTTTACTCCAGTGAATGGTGCAAAAGGCATGTCGTACTTGTTTGTCCTGTAGGTGGTATCGAATGTAACAACATCACCAAAATACTGATAAGCCATGCGAGACCGAGCATCCACCCAAAAGAAATTAGTTGCTCTTCCGTTTTCATCACATTGGATTGCATAAAAAAAATGAGGATTTTCAGCTTGCTCTTTCCTGAAATAAGTAAGCACTGACTGAGCATCACCTCCATCTAGTTGTCTATGTCGGACATTTCTCAAGTGGTTATAGCAATCTCTTTTGTTAAAGCCAATATGTGTGCCACCAAAAATTGAAGAAACTTTTGCAATTGGCAAATTTTCTTCATGAAATGTTTCAGTGAGAACTCTTACAGCTTTGGGCATAACTTTATTTGACTTCATTTTCATTCTTCTTTCTGGTGTAACTGGTTTGTGGTTGTGAACGTCTTTGAACACTGAAATTTTCCATTTGTTTGACCATCTATCATGTACGATTCGCATACTTGCTTTACACCCACATTTCACTGTAGAACAATTCTTATTCATTTTCTTCATATTCTCAGTCTCACATGTTTCCCTATCTTCATTCTCTTCCAAAGTCTCATGTACTATATTTCTCGAGACATGTTTCCCTTGATGTGCACAAACAAATTGTCTGCTTGTTATATCGTCTGAACGGCTTCTTGTCTTGGATGAAGATCGAGTTCGAATCCAAAATCCCTTTTGTCGGCCATAATCTTGATAATAGTTTCTAGCCTCTTCCATTGTGTCAAAAAGCATCCCTACATATGGAGTTTTCAAGCCTTTTGAATTCTCATTTGGAATACATGTTTCATCATTCTCGACTTGAACCGTGTCTTGTACCTATTAACGTTTATTAATCATGCTTAATGATCAAAGTTAAAAAAATACATGATAAATATATGCTTAATGAACTACGAACATAAACGCTTATTAGAAAAAAAACTATAAACTTTTATTAAAATAAATACTAAGGGATATTAAATTAACAATTGAGTACATACTGGAGATATGGAGGGAGAGTTTGATGCAAAATCTGCCACGCTCTCTGCCATTTTGAACAAGAATAGATTAGAAATGAATTGAGTGATGATGAAAAAGAAAAGCTTATTAGGTTTGCATAGGAAGAAGGAGAAACGTAATTAGGATTTTTGTTCTTGTTCTTCACCTATTATGAAGAAAATAGGGAAGGAGTTTCTGAAATATATCGTTATTAGACTATGCCAATTTTATGAGATTTGATTTTTTTTAGACTATATGCCAATTTTATCGTGAAGAAATTTGATTAAAATACATTATTAGACTATGCCAATATATTTGGTGAAAGTCACGACAAAAAAATCATAGAATTTTATGAGATTTGATTAAAATACTTTCTTAAAAAATAAGATTAGATGACAGCAAGAATTCAAAGATAATTATTAGACTATGCCAATTTGGTGAAAGTCTATTAAGATAGATGAGAGAGAAAGAAAATTATAATTGTAAAGTTTTATTTAGATTTAATATGTATTTTTGGGAAAATAGAAATAAAATTAATTGCTATATTGTCAACCTATCATCTCAACCATTAAAAGAGGACTAATCTAATGGCTAGATACTTGTGTCAAAAATTGTGTAAAAAACATGGTGCCACGGATCCGTCCCCATATATATATATATGCACAATACTACATATATGTTCAAACATATTATACTAATTAATCTACCTATATGTAAATTTATGATGAGGTGAATCAAATAACATTCTTTTATTTAATAGGTAATATATTTTCCATGCTTATTACATATATTTGGCACATTTTATTATTATAAGATATATGTACAAATAATAGGTAAATTAATTTTGAATCAAATAAAATTTCTTTATTTTGTATGTAAATTAATTTTGAAACAAATAACATTCTTCATTATGTAGGTATTTTATTTTGTATGTATCATATATTGGGTACATTTTATTATTATATGTACAAATAATAGGTAAACTAGTATTGAATAAAAAAATATTATTTTTTATGTAGGTACATTATTTTGCATCTATCATGGGTTTGCTTTATTATGTAGGTAAATTATTTTGCATGTACTTTACATTTGTTTATACCATATTTAGGGCCTCGTATTTAGATCTCGTACAAATACGCGGGGGACTTAAATGTAATTATATGATAAAATAAGGGGCAAATATGTAATAAGTGATGAGTCCTTATTCTATAAAATGACCCATCACCCTCACAATTAGAAGAGGCCAATTCCTAGGCCCTCTTACCCCCTCTCAAAGCTTTCACTCAGATAGACAAGCTCCCTTTGCTCTCCCCCTTCACTCCTCTCACTTTTCAGAGAAATTCAATAATCAGTGTGGATGTAGCCTAAACATTGGGGTGAACCACGATACATCTTGTGTTATTTACATTACTTGCAGATTCACGGTCGGACTTACGTTGTTCCAAGACATCTGGTTTTGTGCATCAACATTTGGCGCCGTCTGTGGGAAACGATACAAAAAGTTGTGTCGGTTCTCTCTCAATTTTTCACCTCCACTGTGAATCTGCAAGAACCATAAAAATTTCAGATCTCCGTGGCTGCTCAAAGTTGTTGCTCAAAATTTTAGATGAGCCAACTTTCTTTTCATCTGCTCAAAGCTTGAAATTGGATCTCCGTGGTCTTTGCAGAAATTTGCAAATTACCTATTTCTAATTTTGTACCCTATTCATGTCCAACACAACCGCAACACAATCCCTCAGAAACCCATTCGCCTAGAATTCCAGAAAGGTCTCATAGCTCCGCCCCACAAAATCCTCGTGGAGACCCTGCCCTCTGATTCTTCCAAATGGGCGAGCTTGATTCGTGAACAGTGAGAGTGGCAGCCTAGATAACGCCAGGTCAGGTTTGGCGGCCCAGATCCCGCAGAGGCGCCAGATTTACGACACGTCTTTCGCAAACTTCCATGTCGTCGAGCTCTTCTCCTCCACCTGCTTCTCCCACAAGAAGATCGCCTAGGAAAGTGAGAGAACTCTTCTGTCGTCACTCTATTTGGTTCGGATCTATCTTGTCTCTCTTAGCCAGCGCATCTATGAAGTTCGTTGATGAGCTCGGGTTCTTCAGATCTACCACAGACAACGCTAAAGACACTGTCACCGATTTCGTGGGCATCCTAATCGGCTCGCTGTTGCTTTATTTTGTCAAGTATGTGACTCGACCTGAGAAGGAGACGGGTCGGATCAGAGAAGTTTTGATGATTTTAAAAGGTGCTGCTTGTTCTGGCTTTGATTGATCTCTCTTTTTAGCTGAGGAACGTCGGGTTGAAGCGGTTGGCAAGCGCAGTGCTGGGGAATGAGCTACAGAATTCGCCGTAACCGTTGGCTCCCCACGACCACCACGTCAGCACGAAGTTGCTCTGCCATCTGGCAAATGACATCCCTCGGATCTCCATTCACTACTTTCGTCTCCACCTTAACATCCTAACGGAGGTCCCTGCACGTTTTCTTAGCCTTCTGCATCACGTAATCCGCCACATCAGCACGTCTTCTTGGACCAACTCGAGTACTTCTTTCGTGGGATCTCGATCGCAGATGGGAAAGTAAATATCCCAAAACTGTGGCAACAAAACAGCTGAAACCGCATTCGCCACCGGATCCTCCATTCTGATTTACCCGCCCGTTTTCTGATGGCGACTCCCACCGAGTCTCTCCTCTCCATCGCCAGGTCGGTCTCCACCAACTCCACCAAGAAACGGGTTCGGATCTTCCATGATGAAATTCCCGCCGTTCTCAGCAACTCTGAAATTGGTACTGAGTCTGTACTGCCGTTGATAGATATAATCTTTCAAACATTGTACATTACGATGATCGTGGGTCAAGGAAAGCTATTGATGACATCATTACAAAAGGTTTACAAGAGGTTTCCTTTATGAAAAGTTTTGCGGCAGCCCTTGTTCAGGTCATGGAAAAACAAACGAAGCTGCAATCACATGTTGGCTGTGATAGACTTCCCCAGTGGTCATGCCTTCTATTGAGTAAGAGTAAGTTTGCCACAGTCTCAAAGAATGCATTGTGGCCGTCGGTAAAATGGCGATTATGGCCGTCGTCACCCCGGAGAAAATAGTCGTCTCCAATTGAGGCGATTACCTTGTTGTGCTTTGGCGTGAAGAATGGCGTCGTTCGAGTGGGCCAAGGATAAGGCCCAGATTTGGGACACCGACGGCCAGGAAAGCCATGGGGAAACAGAGAACTTGAGTGCCATCTGCACTCTGCAAAAGTAAAAGCAAAAGTAAAGCAAAAAAAAAAAGAAAAGAAAAGCAGTGGGAACAGAAAAGCAAAAAGAAAAGGGAAAAAGAGAAGTGATCATGGATGGGCACGACCAAAGCAAGTGGGTTTGCAGGAAAAAGATACCTTACAAAACAAGGTGGACAGAGAATGAGCGGGGAGATCAAGAAAAGCAGAAAGCAAAAGTAAGGAATAAACACCCCACCACAATGATGTGGTTTACTTTCCTTATTTTTTAATGATGTAATTTATTTTTCTTATCTGTCGGAGATATCTGTATAAACCCCATCAAAGGGTAAAAAATAAAATTAAAAAAAAAACAAAAACGGGCAAGCCCAAAATAATGGGCTGCAATGTCATGTGGAGGGCGAATGCCCATATGCCTAAAAGAGCCAGACCCTCTATTATCACCAACCAGATGACCAAAAGTACGCTCAGTACCCCAAAATTATTCGGCAATCTGCTGCTATTACCACCAACCAGGTGATCAAAAGTACGTCCAGTACTCCAAAATTATTCGGCAACCTGCCGCTATTACCACCAACCAGGTGATGAAATGTACAACCTGTACTCTAATATCATTTAGCAACTAGCCATTCATGTCACCAACCAGGTGATGAAATGTACAACTCGTACTCTCCTTCATGCCACAAACCAGGTGATCAAAAGTACGCCCAGTACTCCAAATTATACATGAGCATTACTCATGTCATTCATACAACATCTAACATTTTAAAATATTGGGTAAATTATTTTGCTTTTTTTAAGCATCTAACATTTTAAAATTTGAATAGTAGGTGCACTAAATCAAATAACATTTTTTTGTAGGTAAATTATTTTGCATGAATTTTTACGATATCAAGTTTTTTTTTTTTGTTATATATGTGTGTGTGTGTGGGAAATTTACCTACATTTATATGTAAAATATAATTTGATTGACTAAAAAAAGCACGTATTATTACATATATTAGGCATGTTTTATTGTTATCATATATTAGACAATTAATTTATTATTTATTATTTTTGTAAAATCATTAAATCTTCCTTACAATCCGTATAGAATTAATTGTGTACATTAAATGTAACATCCCACATCGCCCAGGGAGTGGATCTTATAAGTCTTATATGTATATTCACATCTCTACCTAGCACGAGGCCTTTTTGGAGCTCATTGGCTTCGGGTTCCATCGGAACTCCGAAGTTAAGCGAGTTCGCGCGAGAGCAATCCCATAATGGGTGATCCACTAGGAAGTTCTCATGTGAGTTCCCAGAAACAAAACCGTGAAGGTGTGGTCGGGGCCCAAAGCGAACAATATTGTATTACGGCGGAGTCGAGCCCGGGATGTGGTGGGGGCCCGGGCCGGGATGTGACATTAAACCTTCAAATAGGGGTATTTTAGGCACACAAAAAAATTTAATGTGTAAAGTCAAAATATAATTAATGAATTTTGTTGATGTGGAATCTAGTCAATGGGTTTTATTGGAGTAAAAAACTTTATTGGAGTAAAAAACTTAATTAGAGAGAGAGAGAGAGTGTGTGTGTGTGTGTGTGTGTGTGTGAGCTATTGAGAGCAGGACGGTGAGTCGATTGTCAAGAAGAATGAGAAGCAATTGATGAAATGAATCAAACGTTGGGATTCTGAAGTTCTGGATAACTTTTGAAAATTGAAGGGACGCCTCGTCCACGTACTGCATGTAGAGAGAGATTGTGATCGACGCTACAAATCCGTACTTACGTGTTCAACTCGTACGGTATAATAGAGGGATATTTGGAAAAATAATCAAAATTTGATCCAATATAGAATTATAGCCATACTTTTAAGTTTATCATAAGGAAAAATTAGTATCCGGTCCCTAGTTTTTACTGTTCATTGACTAAGACCTTATTAGTTCTCAAATTTTGATTCAAGTCCCTAGCATTAATGTGATAATGAATTTACATGTTTATTATATAATTTTTTAATATAAAAATTAGTAATTAATTTAGGGTTTAATACTCACACCTCTATTAAACTTCTAATAAATTTTCAATTCAAACATTTCCAAAATAATAAAAAATTAAATTAAATTAAGTTTGTACCTATTAGTTTTTTTTTATATATAAAAAGATTCTCAATTTTTTAATCTTAAATGTACCCATTCATATAATTTTTCAATTTTTTAAATCTTAAATGTACCCATTCTCAAATATATCAATTTGTTATATGTAAAATGTACCCTTTTTTTAATATAAAATCCATTCAAAATTTTTAATTCATGTTTAAACTCATATGGGTACATTCTTTTTCGTTGATTTGAGAATGTATCCATGTTTTGGTACAATAACTTTTTTTGTTAATTTTGGTTAATGTACCCATACATATATGTATACACACACACACAATATAATAGAGAGTATAATTTCTATTTATTATTTTTAATCCCATAAATTATGGGTTTTATTTAAAATCTCATTAATATAAACAATTACAAATTTCAATTTTGAATTTTGAATTAAAAAATATAGTAACTTACATTATTACATTAATGTCAGGGACCTCAATCAAAAACCAAAAACTAACAAGGTTTCAATCAAAGAATGTTGATAGCTAGGGACCGCATCCAAAGTGTCCCTTATCATAATTATAACAAAAAATTGATATGAAAGTATTAGTATACCTTTATACCCTTAAATGGTTGTGGTTGTATTAAGACTGCCTCCAAATCATAGAAAAATGGGTGTCCTGGGGTTTGAATGTAGATTCGCAAAGGCATGGTTAGGAGTCTATTGGTAGTTCTCACTTTGAATGCCATGGTTTGGAGTTGAGGTTGAGTGCGACGGTGGTCTTAGATCCCGTCAACAGTATTAATTTCAGACCTCATCGAAGTTGTTAAAGTCAAACCCAACCGGCATCGATCGTCTCCATTCTTTCCTTGAGGCATTGGGTCCAAAGGACCCAAGCAATTAAAATTAAAATTGCTTATGAAAATGAAAACTGATATATCAATCAATAATCATGGCAAGGTCGGTGCGGGAGGAAGGGATGGATAGGAGGCTTTGGAGCAATCAGAGATGCGGGAACATCTTCAACAGCTTGTTTTTTAGTTTTTTTTTTTTTTTTTGGAAAACCACATTTTAAACAAGGGTATATTAGTACTTTCATATTAACTTTTGGTTAAAATTATTAAAAATTTAAAATAGTGGCTATAATTATATTTGCGTTCAAAATTTTTGTTATTTTTCCAAATTTCTCTATAATGGACAACCGTACAATAATTATATAAGAGTAATTTTAGGTAAACAAAATTTTTTAAATTAGATTTGCAAATCAAATGATGTGGTTATAGATGATTGGATTAATAACAAAGTGTCAATTAACGTCCTTATTTGTTATTGGTGACATATTATTTTGTTTACAAATTTGGTTTTCCTACCATTACCCATCATATAATGATACAGTAGAGAATAAATTAGCATAAAATTCGTCATGAGAATTAAATTTCAGACCTACAAGTAAAGACAAATATTTTTTTTAAAGAAATTAAAGGTAAATATCATTAGATTGTATGAGGAGTGGCCGTACAATAATCAAATTTTAATCACTATTATAGGCATTATTAATTCCTAGGGTGGAGGGTAATGGAGAGATTTTTAGTGTACCGATAACATGACTAGGTACACAAATGTCACAAAACAATTAGTTGGATACTTGGATAAAAACCTTTCAATCAATTATTTTATAACACTTAGTGTATCGACCTATGTTTCCGGTACACTGAAAATATTCTTGAGGGTAATGAGGTAACGATAAGGAGGGGTCCGAAGTAATTAACAAAAACATATAGTAAACTAATGAATAAATATCTCACTGATTTCTTTTTATATAAAAACACTTGACGAAATTTTTTTAATCATAAAGAAAAAAAATATTATCCTAAATTCATTCTTTAATAATCTCGGGCTAAAATTTTAACTCAAAATTATTGAAGTAAAAAAAAAATCCTATTTCTAGGTTAAAATCTAAATTTTCAGAGTTAAATTTTTTATATTTTAACCTAAGAGTTGAAGAAGATCTTTAAATTAAAACTTAAGACTAAAATATTACATTTTTGTTGCATTAATCTTCCTTCCACACTCAATCTTCCCTTAGTTCTTCCCTGTTTCTCAACAAAAAATATTACATAACTTTTATTACAAGATAAAAGATAAAGACACAACAAGATCCAGTGTAAAAAGTCAGACGTCCCAAATTTTCAATTGCACGCCAAGAAGAGAAGTACATGATTGAATGACTGATCTGGACTGACTAGTATAATCGATGACTTTTTCATAGCCTGATGATCCGTGCTTTGTTTCTTCTGCTTTTTGAATAGTAAATTTATTCACATATGTCAATTAATACAACAACAACAACAAAACTTTTTCCCATTAAGTAGGATCGGCTATATGAATTCTAGAACATTAAGAATAATACAAGGTAGATCAAATTTTCAAATCAAATTATGTAAATTAAATGATGTGATTATTGATAATTGATTATTAATTTAGTGTCGATTCATATGTTTATTTCATATTAACGATACATCATTTAATTTATAAATTTAATTTAAAATTTTGATCTCCATTATAATTCTTGGTTTCTAGGAAATCTGTAGAACGACAGCCGGCAAACAATACTGAATCAGCAAACATATTTTATCTCAAAACAGACCAATTCAATGATACAAATCAAGCCAAAAGAAAGCTACTAGTCACCAAATACAAAACCCATTCTTCCTTGAAACCAAGTATAAATATTGTTTTGCACATCTATAATTTTAACTACCACAGCGCTATCATATTCAAATTCGCTGTTTAATAAGATGACGAAGTCTTTGAAAAGGCATTTGGAGTTGCAGGGTCCAAGGCCAGCACCTCTTATGGTAAGCAAGAATTCACAGAAGGTGATGAAGAAGAAGCCAGTCATAGTCTATCTCATATCTCCCAAGATTATTCATGTCCAACCTGAAGAGTTTATGGGTTTGGTTCAACGGCTTACTGGGAATAATAATAATCAAGGTTGTCGAAAATCCAAGGTTAATAACATTAGGGCTGCTAATTCTCAGTCTTGTACTTCTGCTTCCACTACTTGTTTGATCGACCAAGAAGGTTTCGTGAGTGAGAGCCTACGGAAGCCCAACAATAATAGGGCAGATGAGTACTGCGATGATCGTGTACCTTTTGGAATACCTACTACAACAACCTCCAACTTTGCTGAAATCTTCTAGCAATATAACAGTATATGTATTTGTGTATTTGTCTGTAGAAATATTTACATATGTTAACATCAAAAGCATGTTATCCGGGTTACTTGAGTTCGAGAAAAGCTAGGTTTCATATATTAGTCCAGCTTTTAGCTTTGTATGCCAGAATTTATTAAGGTTATTTGATGGATATATATCATATAATCCATTTTTTTCATGTATGAGTTTTGCAGGATGTTTGATTTTTATTTTGGTTGAAATTATTTACATGAATAGCAGGCGGCAAGCTTTTCCTGGTGGTGGTTCATTTCTGATGAAGAATGACCATCTCAGTGAGAGCTGTATGATTATTTGTTTGCTGTTGTTGTTTCTTTCCTCGTCTTTCTCATTCAAGTTGTATAATTGGCTGTGTTATGAAATGAAATCATTCGTTATTGATCAAAAAATAAAACTTAGGACTTGTTTGATATACTATTTGAATTTTTTTTATCATTTCTCAAAACATTTCTTGAAAACAATTTTTTTAAGACTCAAAAACTTGTTTGGTATGCGATTTAAAAATTTTAAATCTTACAACTTAAACTGGACAAAAAGATCCCAAAAGAGAGGGTCAAGGGAGAAAGAGGAGAGATAAGAAAAGAAAGTGAGACATGATTGGAGGAAAAAAAAAAAAAAAAAAAAGAGGATCAGATGAGATAGAGAGAAAGATGAGTGAGAGAAAGAACCGAGAGAATGAAGAGAGTGAATTGGATGAGAGACAAAAAATGTAAAAAAAAAAAAAAAGAAAAAAAAAAGAGAAGTGGAGATGGAAAGAAGAAAAGAGAGATATAGATTTGAAGTGAGAGGGGAGGAGGGATAGAATATAAATAAGCGCATTTAAGTTTATAAACTCACATTTTTTTTAGAGAATATACCATATTTTTTAGTTAGTCTTGAGTTCAGTTTTTGAAAATATGCCTACCAAACAAGTTTTTAAGGCCTAAAACTTGGAAATTGTTTTTTAGTTTAAAAAGTTGAATTCAAGTAGACTACCAAACAGGCTCTTAACATTTTGATTTAACCTTTTAGTTTATGATTTTCTTTTGCTAAGATAAGACCTGTCCCATATGTTATTTTTGTCTTTTTTTCTTTGTCGAAATGTTATTTTTGTCTTGATTAAACGATAAAGACTTGTACACTATAAGTACGTTTATATGTGCTTTTAAAATGACTGAAAACGTTTTTAGCGAAAATGTTTTTAGAATTAATCCTTAGTAAAAATGCAAATAAATTTTGGAAAAGCACTTAAAGTATTTCTTGGAAGAAGCGCATAACTGGTGCTTCTTGCAGAAAGCACTTCAAGTGCTGTTTAAACCTAAAAAGATTTGGGCAAAAGACTGTTTACTACCCTCATGTTTCATGTTTTTCAACATTTAGTACATCAATTTTTTTTTCATCTCAAAGTCATACCTAAAGTGTAAATTTTGGGACAATCTCATACATCCGTTAGTCAAACTGTTAAGTCAGCTGTTAACTGTGACGTGGCGCCTATATGGCCAATGACTGGGCGCCACGTGTCATCCACGTGGAAATTTTTAAAAAAATTATAAAATAATATATATATATATATTATAAAATTAAAAAAAAAAACCGAATCTGGGCAGATTCGGAAGAAGAAGAAGAAGAAGAAGAAGAAGGAGAAGGAAGAAGGAGGAAGAAGAAGAAGAAGAAGAAGGAGAAGGAAAAAGGAAGAAGAAGAAGAAAAAAAGGAAAAACACTAGGCAGATTTGAAGAAGAAGAAGAAGAAGGAGGAGAATGAAGAATGAGAAAGAAGAAGGAAGGAGGAAGAAGAAAAAAAAACTGGGCAGATTCGAAGAAGAAGAAGAAGAAGGAGAAGGAAGAAGGAGGAAGAAGAAGGAAGGAGGAAGAAAAAAAAAACTGGGCAGATTCGAAGAAGAAGAAGGAGGAAGAAGAAGGAAGAAGAAGAAAACAAAAACTGGGCAGATTCGAAGAGGAAGAAGAAGGAAGAAGAAGAAGAAGGAGAAGGAATGAGGGAGAAGAAGAAAAAAAAACTGGGCAGATTCAAAGAAGAAGAAGAAGAAGGAGAAGGAAAAAAAACAAAAAAAAAACTGGGCAGATTCGAAGAAGAAGAAGAAGGAGGAAGAAGAAGGAAGAAGAAGAAGAAGAAGGAGAAGGAAGGAGGAAGGAGGAAGAAGAAGAAAAAAAAAACTGGGCAGATTCGAAGAAGAAGAAGAAGAAGAAGAAAAAGGAAGAAGAAGAAAGAGGAAGAAGAAGAAGGAGGAAGAAGAAAAAAAAAATGGGTAGATTCGGAAGAAGGAGAAGGAAGGAGGAAGAAGAAGAAGGAGAAGGAAGGACGAAGAAGAAAGAAAGAAAAAAAAAAACGAATCTGCTACCCAGATTCAGAGGAAGAGAAGGAAGAAGAAGAAGAAGGAAAAAAAAAACGTTTTTTTTAAATTTATTTATTTATTATTTTATAATATATATATATATTTTTAATTTCTACGTGGATGATACGTGGTGCCCAATCATTGTCCACATGGGCGCCACGTCACTGTTAACGGCAGACTTAACAGTTTGACTAACGGATGTATGAGATTATCCCAAAATTTACACTTTAGGTATGACTCTGAGACGAAAAAAAATTGATGTACTAAATGTTGAAAACCATGAAACATAAGGGTAGTAAACAGTCTTTTGCCCAAAAGATTTTCTTTAAAAGTGATTTCAATCATTTTAAAAGTACATCCAAATGAGCCTTATATTTGTTTAATTGAGAAAGTGATCGGTTTAAAGTCATTCGGATAGGAACATTGAGATAAATGTGTAGGTTCCTAATGAAGGTGACTCGGCATATTGATTGGATTCAAGAAACATAAGCTGCAATAATGCAAATTATCAATTAGACTTGAGGCATCGTGGTTGTCTAAGAGAATATTGTTAATTTTGATAATATAAGCCCCTAAAGTCCTATCATAAATTGTTTTCTACCCGATTCACAAATTGTTTTCTTATGTCTAAACCCATAGGGTGTGTTTGTTGTACCAAACTATCTCGGATTGGACTAGTTTCAGGGACTAAGCTATACTGGCTTAGATTAGACTAAGCTGGACTAATTTAGTGAAACGTTTGGTGCAGTCTTGGACTAAAAAGCAGGATAACGAAAAACCATCACATTTATCACCCAAAAGACCAACAAAGCAATTCAGAACAAAAATCATACATTTTTTTGATATAAAATTATAAAATTTTCATTTAATAAATAATGATGTTATGAGCTACACATATGATATGGAGGCATCGAATGAAGTACAACGTTGTGTATACAAAATGTATATATACGTTCTATATGATTTCTATTATGCATACAAACTCAACTCAGGATCTTCTCCCTTATTCCAGTAACTAGTGGAGTGGTGCACTTGAGTCTGGACTATCAATATGTGTACTTAGCATATCGCATACGAAGAGAGCTTAACCTCATGGGCGAAGATAAGGACACGCCAACATTCCTCTATGCACCCAGCATGTGGAAATACACTTGAGGTGCCCACCCATCCAGCTGGTTTAGGAGAGCTAAGGACTGCTAGTAACAAATCGAAGCTGTGACAATTCCCACAAGACCTCCGCCGAAGACGTCCTGCCAATGATACAGTAATCATCACACGAGAGATTCCCACGAGAGCAGCACATAGTGATGGAAGAAATACAATGCAGAGCTTTGCGAAATAGCCTCTGTGATCAAACACTTTGATCTTCATGAACAAATGCCATGCAAGAAAACCAAGAACTGCAAATAAAACTGAACTATTTCAGCACAAGGAATCAAACAACAACAATTTTTTGCATTTATTTACATAAGTGAGATTAAATGAACAAGTGTAAAAAGCAATTGAAATAGAATCTGAGGGATATGAACGAGAAAGTACAACATACCAAAACAAACAACTGAACCTAGTGCACCAGGCTACTGCCATGGTAGCCATTGCAGAGTCATTGCAAAGTAGACACATAGACAAACAATTAATGAATTTGGCTCCAAGTTTTCAAATTTTATTTATTAATAATTTACGAAAAACAACACCCAAACTTCAAAGCTCTGCATCTGCATCTCAATTCTTTGTCCTTTATACTAGTTTTCTAATCAAAAGCCTTGCATCTACATCCAAAGCCTTGCATATACATCAAATTGTGGGCGTGATAGGAATAGACAAGAGCACCACATGCTGAGGCACACAATTCTTTATCCTTAATACTAATTTTCTAATCAAAATTTGCACCATAATTATCATTTTACTTTCCTCATATAACACCTAATTAATGATATTAATATGAACAAATGTGCAGCCCCATGCACCAGGCGACTGCCATTACAGAGTCATTGCAAAGTACAGAGACAAACAATTTGAACACCGCTAATAACCCATCAGCCTCGGACCACTTAGCCACTACTGATTTATGAAATTCAACCCAAATCAAAACACTCAAACCACAAAATTCAAGAAAACTAATATTATCTACAAAACTAATAATCTTCGATGTAAAAATTCCAAATTTTCACAGTATTCAAACCCAAAACAACGAATCGATGAAAATCCAGTAATAAATTAACGATTTGAAACAAAATCAAAGAAATAAACCGTCAGATTTGAAATTTACCAGACCAAGAGTAGATGATGACGAGCAGGATATGAGGGTGAGCAGTACGAGGATGACAGAGCGAGAAGATGAGCAAGAAGACAAGGACGAGCGACGATTCTCTCTCAACGACAGGCTTAGGTAGTCCTGTGGTATTTGGGGGTCCTCGCTAAGAACTCCTAGCGAAGGAGATAGTCGGAGCAAGTGAAGGCTAATCTCATTAAACTTAGTCCATTTGCCTACCAAACATGGGACTACAATCACTACACTAATAATTAGTGTAGTCTAGTCTAATGAAATTTAAGGGGTGATTGTTTAGCTTCACTAGGTTTCACTAGACTAGACTAGATTAACTGTTAGTGTAGTCTGTTGTTTGTTTCCGGACCAGACTAATTTTAATGGGATTAGCCCAGACTCACCTTCACTAGCGACCTCGCTAGCCAGTCTTAGCTTGTCTCAGCGAAAACCATGGGACTGGCTAAAAATTTATTCTTCCTGCTCAAATCACCTCATCGACTTCGATTTCGAAGGCACAAGCTTTGGGCGTGGCTTCATCTCCAACGATGAACTCGTCAATCGCTTTATCTTTGATGATGACCTCATCGATTGGGTCATCTCCGTCATCTTCTTCTTCTTCACTACTTCACAATCGCCATGGCTATGACTTTGAAGATGTTGATTTGGCTTTGGCTTTGGCTTGCCTTGCCTCCTCGTCGAATGGGTCATTTCTATCATGGTTGCTTCGTAATCTCCGTATCTTCTTCTGTATGACTTTTTTATATTAGAGAAATTAGGGATTCGTCTTGTAGCC